CAGTGTAGAGGAACAGAGGGATCTTGGGGTCCATGTCCATAGACCCCTCAAAAGTTGCCACCTAAGTTGATAGGGTTGTAAAGAAGGCGTATGGTGTGTTGGCTTTCATTGGCAGGGGAATTGAGTTTAAGAGCCGCAAGGTTATGCTGCAGCTCTGTAAAACCCTGGTTAGACCACACTTGGAATATTGTGTTCAGTTCTGGTTGCCTCATTATAGGAAGGATGTGGAAGCTTTAGACAGGGTGCAGAGGAGATTGATCAGGATGCTGCCTGGAGGGGAGGACAGGTCTTATGAGGAAAGATTGAGGGAGCTAGGGCTTTTTTCACTGGAGTGAAGGAGGATGACAGATGACTTGAGAGGTGTAATAAGATGATGAGAGGCATAGATCGAGTGGATAGCCAGAGACATTTTCCCAGGGCGGAAATCGCTATTACGAGGGGGCATAATTTTAAGGTGATTGGAGGAAGGTATAGGGGAGATGTCAGAGGTAGATTCTTCACACAGAGAGTGGTGGGCGTGTGGAATGCGCTGCCGGCAGTGGTAGTACAGTCAGATACTTTACCGACTTTTAAGCGACTCTTGGATAGGCACATGGAGGATTGTAAAATGTAGGGTATGCAGGGTAGTTTGATCTTAGTAGGATAATAGGTCAGCACAACATCGTGGGCCGAAGGGCCTATACTGTTCTATGTTCATAGATTCACAGAATCCCTACAGTGTAGAAACAGGCCCTTCGGCCCAACAAGTCCACACCGACCCTCGGAACATCCAACCAGACCCATCCCCCTATAACCCACCTAATCTCTCCGTCCCTAAACACTATGGGCAATTTAGCATGGCCAATCCACCTGGCCTGCACATCTTTGGACTGTGGGAGGAAACCAGAGCACCTGGAGGAAACCCACGCAGACACAGGGAGAATGTGCAAACTCCACACAGACAGTCACCTGAGGCTGGAATTGAACCTGGGTCCCTGGTGCTGTGAGGCAGCAGTGCTAACCACTGAGCCACCATGCTGCCCATGTTCTATTTTCTATTTTGCAAGCTTGTCTAATGCAATCAGAATATTCATTCTCATCAACAAAAATACAAAGACAGAATTTTATACACTCATTTCTAAGGTTACATATCTGCTGCAGTTAGCGTCCTCCAATCAAGACATTAAAGAATGCTACATCCGCTGTTAAATAATCAAACTGTCTGTTAATTTAATCTCTATTTAAAGAAAATGAATCAGCAAATTTGAAAAACAGACTTAAAAAGCCACTTCACATTCCTTATGCAAATGCATTAGAATATGGAGTGTAAACAAAGGTTTAAAAACTCAATGATATGCTTCTTATTAACTGAGGAATCGAAAACTTAAAGCACAAAACTATTTGGTCATTAGCTTGGTCTTCTGCTTTTCACATGGGTAATTTACTTTGGGCTAAACATTAGATTTGCGGTTATTTTCTGATGTGTATAAGATGCCAGAAAGTACAGGGAATATTAATAAACATCAGAAAGATCAAGACAAACGGCTGATAAGAGCAGATGCCTGCTAGACCAAATTTAATGCAGGGAAGCATGAAATTATTCATTATGGTTGGAAGATGAGGGAAAGCAATCTGAAGTAAATGGTGTAATTTAAAAGATGTACAGGAACAGAGATATCTGGAAGTGTATGCACAATATTCTCAGCAGATGACAAAACAAGTTGAAGATGCTATTAAAACTCTATAAGTGAAGTTGAATTTATGAATAGAAGGATGGAGTATAAAAGTAAAGAGGTTATTATAAACTTTCATAAATTACTTGTTAGATCCAAGCCGGAGAATTTGTTGCTTAGTGGACAGCAAGAATGGATGACTAATGCGCTATCATCTGACTTAGACTATCCCCTTTAAAATTCCAATTACAAACATATTCATTCACAGATAAGACAGGCAAAAACAGATGGTTTCACACCAATATTATAGGCGGAAAAATACAGACAGGGAAAACAAATTCTGCAAAACAAGGGTGGGATTGGTTCTCAGTTCTTTGGCTCCAGCTCTTATATCAGAATTCCATCTTTAGAGAAGCTTAAGTATTTCTTCTTTTTGTCTTTTTCACTCACAGAGGAGGAGAGATGCTTCTCGTTTGCAGGCTCCTGATGTCGCTGGGTGAACTGCCCTAGAGGACTGTGAAATGTAACTAAAAAGGCAAATCTAAAGGTTGTTGCTCGGCAGCTTTTCCTTAGTCTCCTAGTGCCAGTCTGTACTGTAAAGTATCCACTCCATTGCTCTGAAAAGTAACATAACCTTGTAGCTAAAGTGTACATCACACAAGTCCACTTGACCTTCAAGTTGTAAAAAAGTAAACTCCTTCTGATCTTTTAGCTACACTGCAATGAGCAATGAGTAAGTCAGACTCATTGCACATCTGTTTTCAACAGGTCGCCAAACAAAATGATAAAAGCATTCCAATTACTGGACCAGCTTTCCAGTCTTGGAGAAGAGGAAAATTGTCAAGAATGAAGCAACTATTTTCAAAACAACAGATGATTGCATACAGTTACCCTGTGCTCATGTTTTAGACTAAATATTCTATTGCCTATATTTCGATTATGGGCAGTTTTACAAATAAAAACAAGTTTTAGAATTCTGGGATTCTCATTTTTGTTCATCTTTTGAAATTGCTAATCATGGTGTACACAAACACAAAAACACTTGACATCACAACCCTTTATCATGCTATGCATGATACATACTAATACATATAGAATATATACATTATATACCACAAGGACCACCATCAGCTTGGATTGATAATGTCAACAATCTGTTATAGAGACATACAATCAGTCAAAGAGATCTACAAAACAGAAAAAGGCTCTTCAGGACATCATGTCCACTCTGGACAAACACAACGTAACTATTCTAATCCCATTTTCCAGCATTTGACCCATCTGCCATCTTTACTTGGTCTGACCTGCATGTGATTCCAGCCTCACAGCTGACTCTTAATTGCCCTCTAGATAATAAATGGTGGCTCAACCAGTGATGCCCACATTCCATGATAACTTCTTTTGCACTAGGTATAAACTGAACCAGAGTTATCCCACTGATTCTACTGAGACCAGTTTTTCTACAGCTCCTTCATGCCAAACTTGGCCAAATGCTACTTTGACACAATTAACAAAGTTTACATGGGCTCAGAGGTTTCAACAGAAATGTGTAATACTGTATACAGATGAATTTTCTTTGCCTTTCCATTTCATTTCCTATTTTCAAGATCTGAATTATGCAGAAGTGGGAGTCCACAGGTAGTCTTAGGATTGTAGTTTGCCTGTTTACTTTCTTTCCAATAGTGTGTCAACAGTCTATTACCTACATAAATATGTCAGTGTTGTTTCTGGTACTTGTTCCAAAGTTACTCAATTCTGTATTAAAACTAGTCATTGTAGTTATCTTATAATCAATAGTGAAATTATCATGAAGCAGATTCCTAAAGCAACACTGTCAACTTACAAACATTCCCTGAGATGACATGAAGCAATAAGTTTGTTCCAAACCTTTGACCTCTGATAGCTTTGAAAAATGTCCCTAAATGGGGCAGTGGTTGAATAATACCATCACTTTTATTTATTACCACCAGGCTTAAGAAGTGCTAAAAGCATGTCACTTCACATTGGGAACACCCAGCATGGGTTCATGAAGGGTAGGTCATGTTTAACTAATTTGGTGGAATTCTTTGAGGACATTACTTGCATGGTGGACAATGGGAAACCTGTGGATGTAGTGTATCTGGATTCCCAGAAGGCATTTGACAAGGTGCCACACCAAAGGCTGCTACATAAGATAAAGTTGCACGGTATTACAGGTAATGTATTGGCATGGATAGAGCATTGGTTGACCAGTAGAAAGCAAAGAGTAGGGGTAAATGGGTGTTTATCTGGTTGGTGGTCAGTGGCTAGTGGTGTGCCTCAGGGATCAGTGTCGGGACCACAATTGTTTACAATTTACATAGATGATTTGGAGTTGGGGACTAAGTGTGGTGTGTCAAAATTTGCAGATGACACTAAGGTGAGTGGTAGAGCAAAGTGTGCAGAAGACACTGAAAGTCTGCAGAGGGATATAGATAGTCTAAGTGAGTGGGCAAACGTCTGGCAGATGGAGTACAATGTTGATAAGTGTGAGGTCATCCATTTTGGTCGGAATAACAGCAAAATGGACTATGTTTTAAATGGTAAACAATTGCAGCACGCTGCTGTGCAGAGGGACTTGGATGTCCTTGTGCATGAATCGCTAAAAGTAGGATTGCACGTGCAGCAGGTAATTAAAAAGGCAAATGGAATTTTGTCTGCCATTGCTAGAGGGATGGAGTTTAAAAACAGGGAGGCTATACTGCAGCTGTATAGGGTCCTGGTGAGGCCGCACCTGGAGTACTGTGTGCAGGTTTGGTCTCCTTACTTGAGAAGAGATATACTAGCACTGGAGGGGGTGCAGAGGAGATTCACTCGGTTGATTCCAGAGTTGAGGGGGTTGGATTATGAGGAGAGACTGAGTAGGCTGGGATTGTACTCATTGGAATTCAGAAGAATGAGGGGAGATCTTATAGAAACAAATAAGATTATGAAGGGAATAGATAAAGTGGAGGCAGGGAGGTTGTTTCCGCTAGCAGGTAAAACTAGGACTAGAGGGCATCGCCTCAAAATAAAGGGAAGCGGATGTAGGACTGAGGTCAGGAGGAACTTCTTCACCCAAAGGGTTGTGAATCTGTGGAATTCCCTACCCAGTGAAGCGGTTGAAGCTGCCTCGCTGAATGTGTTTAAGGCGAGGCTAGATAAACTTTTGAACAGTAAAGGAATTAATGGTTATGGTGAGTGGGCGGGTAAGTGGAGCTGAGGCTCAAAAAGATCAGCCATGATCTTATTGAATGGCGGAGCAGGCTCGAGGGGCCAGATGGCCTACTCCTGCTCCTCGTTCTTATGTTCTTATGTTCACAGTTAGATAGAATAAAGATATTAACCCACCTGGGGTAACATTCGGTTTTCTTCCTCTAGTTGCTTCACTCTGGTCTCCAGCTGTTTGACGTAAGTAACTGCTGGCTCTGAAACAAAGAGTAAATGGTCACATTTCATTAACTCAACAGAGCATTTAGATGACAACCACCCTCCTCTCAGCATCTTTGAAAACAAATTAAAATTCAACGATCACGCAACATTAATAAGGACCTGATTGTGATCAAGACAGCTGCTGTCACTGGAGTTTACATCAAACTTCAAATTCCTCTAAAATCAATAGAACTAATGACTGTGTTTAATTTCACAATTATTGCAAAGTTACAGCACGAATCTTTAAATTCATGTTTTAACCCTGGCAACCGAAAGGAAGTGTACTGAAAAAGGCAAAAATTCTTAATAAACCTAAAAATTTCATTTATGAACATGACTAAATAATAACTTCTGCAATGACTGAATGAGATTATATGTCTGGCAAAAATGTTTGGTCTTTACAGTTAGTTTTAAAAATAACTTTCTCAATGAGTTACAAGAAGTTACTTTTTCAAAGCAGTAAGACAGTCTATATGGAGGTTCAGTAACTCACAACCACTTACCACATCAAACAAATTTTACAGAATTAATGACTGGAATTCATTATTTATTTTGGGATTTGAAGATAAATTGTTCATTTCAAATACTGCCCTATAATAAGAATACCTCATATCCGTAAGAAAATTAGAAAGCTACAATCTAATCAGTGGTTTAAGGAGATTCTACAAACTGACATGAAGGATTTCATATATCCTTGATTTTATTCCATCATTTCTGTTTCTTTCTGTTTCTATTCTTTGTATAAATATTCTTCAGAGAAATGTCTGGAATTTGCATGTGAAGCAATGAAAAGGAAAATGACAACAACCAGCCTTTGCCTTCATTTCATTGCATTCATGAGTTATTCAAATATGTTTAATAACTGCTACAAAACAGATAATAAACATGCATGTTGGTACTGTCATCACGAGGCTGGAGTATAGAGAAAGAATAATTGACTGGCGTCTGGGCAATTAGTTATCAGCAACAGATGCTGGTCCAGCCAGTAATATCCTCATCTTTGAATGAATATATAAAAAAACCTAGTGTTTTCTCTCTGTGGAAATGTTTATAGAAGTGACCGTTAACAGGGAAAGCAGCTGAAGTGAGCCAGATGCTGGAGATTTGAACATAATAGGTGCGTAATTTGTTATAGTTAAAATGGAAGATAATATCAAGTGTAAATTGTAGAAGAGTGAGCCCAGGCAATTACACCAAGAGGTTGCATCTGTGGGCAGTAATACACTTCATATTAGCTTCTGGCTGGACACACGGTTGATTTTACTGGATTTTAACAAATCATGAGAGCCGTCATTAGCTATTAAACACTTAATACATTCATACGATAACCGTATAACAATCCTGCATTGTAATCTTTACGTTTTTAAAGAGATTCAATAAACATGATTTTAAAAATTGGTTTCCTTTGGCTGCAGCTTGACTTCAGCTTTGTGGCAAAATGCTTACATTAAATAATTGGAACACTTTCTTTCGGTTGAAAATTAGGTCAGATGTAAAAAGCAAGTCTTGTGAGCTAATCAATTTAAATATTGTTTAAAGCAGGAATAGGTGCTCAAATAAAAACCGAAAGAACTGCAGATGCTGTAAATCAGGAACAACAACAAAGTTGCTGGAAAAGCTCAGCAGGTCTCGCAGCATCTGCAAAGGAAAAAAAGAGTTAATGTTTCAGGTCTGGTGACCCTTCCTCAGAGGAAGGGTCAGCCAGACCTGCTGAGCTTTTCCGGCAACTTTATAGATGCTCAAAGCCTGGAGGAAACTGAATCATTTGCTGATCCTCTGCTCTGAGGATGTTAGCATCACAACTGTTCCCACGGAGTCAGCTGAAACCACTGAATGTGAGCCTCGACTTTGAGTTATAACCTCGTCCCCAATAATAAAAATGCTGATCACTTTGAGCCTAAACAGTGGATGCTATACCTTTGATCTTGGTTGACTGACAGCTCTTAATTCGGAAGTCTGCAAAGTGGCACAAATATCGCAGGATTTTCTCAATATTTGTTATAGCAGTTTGTTCATAAAGTTGAATTCTACGAGGCTGACCCAGCAATCCTATCACCCACATAAAGCATTGAATCCATGAAATATTTTTATCCATAAATCTTGTAGATTATTGCGGTACAGTCCAAGGAAACTCATCCTCGGCCATGGAATGCTTTAATGAAAGAATGAGTTATACTGATATCTTGATCAATTGGGTCACTAGGCTGAGGAGTAGCAGATGGATCTTAATTTGGATAAATATGAGGTATTGCATTTCAGTAATACAAACAAGGACAGGACTTACACGATTAATGATGATAGGACCCTAGGTAATTTTGTAGAACAGAGAGACCTAGGGGTTCAGGTACATAATTCTTTGAAATCTGCATCACAGGTAGACAGGGTCATTAAGAAGGCATTTAGCACGCTTGCCTTCATTGCTCAGACCACCATTTCTAGGAGTTGGGATGTCATGTTGAGGTTGTACAGGATATTGGTGAGGCCTCTTGGTGTGCAGTTCAGTCATCCTGTTATAGTAAGGAAATTACTAAACTGGAGAGGGTTCAGAGAAGATTTACCAGGATGTTGCCAGGAATGGACGGTTTGAGATATAAAAGTAGACTGGAAAGGCTGGGACTTTTTCCACTGGAGCGTAGGAGATTGAGGGGTGACCTTACTGAAGTTTATAAAATCATGAAGAGCATAGATAAGGTGAGTGACAAGGGTCTTTTCCCTAGGATGGGACAGTTCTAAACTAGGGAGAATATTTTTAAGGGAAAAGGAGAAAAATTTAAAAAGGACATGGGGGCAACTTTTTTGTTTTACAGAGAACAGTTCGTGTGTGGAACGAATTGCCAGAGAACGTAGTGGATGAAGATGCAGTTGCAACATTTAAAAGATATTTGGATAAGTTCATGAAGAAGTGTTTGAAAGGATGTGGGCCAAGTGCAGGCAGGTGGGACTGGTTTAGTTTAGGAATATGGTCAACGTGGCCTGGTTGGACTAAAGGGTCTGTTTCCATGCTGTATGACTCTGTGTTTCTGGGATATAGGGCTTCTGACATCCTCTAATTTTCTCCAAAGTACGTCACAGTATTACGCAACATAATCCTTACTACAGAGATTATCTCATGACTTCGAAATCAAAGCCAACAATAAATTAAACGGGTGGTAAATTAATTCTGATGCTGATGTGATGCTTCGTTTTTCCAATGGCAGTATTAATCCCTATCAAGTTGGAACTCACTTTCAACTATCCAGGGATCAGCTACAGCCAGCCTAGAAAACATTGTCATTCCTTATAGACATTCCTTATCCACGACTTGCCGCTAATCTGCACTGACCTCTGTTCTCTGGCCAAATACACTCTACCTATGTGGCATCCTGGCACTGCACACACGCAGACCATCCATAGAAACAAAGAATACACAAGTGCACACTGAGACTGACCCTAGGCCTGACTATCAGTTTGTACAACAAAACTCTTCAACTCACAGAGCTCACACCTCTGCAACCAAGAAGAAATAATATTTGGACTAAAGTCTGAAAATCCCTGATGCAATCTGCCCCACTTCTGATCAGGCTGTACCCATCGTGCCACGAGCAGGTTACGGGGATAGGGTGGGGGTTTGGGTCTGGGTGGAACCTCTTCGGAAGGTCAGTGTTGACTTGATGGACCAAATGGCCTCTTCCTGCACTGTAGGAATTCCATGATCAGAGAAGTGTGATTAAATTCAACTTCATCAGATGCAGGTATTGACATAGGCTTAATCTTTATGTGGCTCAGAGCTCAATAAAGTATTTAAATTTTCAAATATATGTATATATATACTCAGTGCCTATAATATGGGAGAAGTGTATTAGTTCGTAATTTTAGTATAATTTTAAATCAACATTACCCTTCTGTTATTTTTTCACTCATCATACCTGCTGAATTTGTCTGTCAATTTTTGGTACTACATGATTGCTACATTTTTGCATGCTTTTTCATATCCTGATTATTTAGTCTGTACATATTTTTCAATAAAAGTCATACTGCAAACTACCATTGGGTTTATGATCATATTTCTTGAACGAATTACCACTATTAGGATAGTATATCATGTTGATACATGCATTAATAGAGTAGAACAAGACAGAATATCCTTTACTGTCACACGTACTCCATTGTCAGAGTACAGTAAAAAGCCTTTACAAAGTCTGCTTTTTATGGCGACATCTTAGATACAAGTACCCAGGTACAAATCTTGGATGTAACAGAGGAAGAAATGTAGTTGCATTGTTTGACAGAGTTTAAAAATAAGTTAAAATTATGACTTCATTAAAGGGTTGACAATACAATAAGGTTAGAAACTTCAAATAAACATGACATCGTAGCAGCTCATTGTAAGACTTCCACATGTGGTCCAACTGGCCACTCCAGACCCCAGTCCAACAGCTGTCCCCCGTCCTACTCTAAACCTCTAGTCTGCTCTGCACCGGCACTCAGTTGCTCCAAGGCAAGTTCCAAGACTGCTCTCCCGCACCAGTCACTGTCAGGGCTGCTTCCATACACTGCTCCATGGCTCATTGATTGTGCTGTTCCAGGACTCATAGCCCACGCTGCACCAGGGCTCACTGCTCGTGCTGTTCTGGGGCTCACAGCCCACGCGCTGCACCAGGGCTCACTGC